TATATAAGATAAACAATAACAAAAGTAAGAGAATAAATAAAAGCCTAAATATATATATATATATATTAATCAAGCCAAATAGCTAATGACCACACTTATTATTATTATTATTATTATTATTATTATTATTATTATCAAACAATATATAGATTGACACACACAAACAAAAATGGTTGCGTGATAGTAGTTGAATATAATAGTATAAGTCTTACAGTTTCAACAAATCAATAACATGTTCTTCATCTTCCCTCTTCTCTCTCTTTATCTCTTGTTCCTCCATCTTTCCTTTTCACTTCCTTCTTCTCTCTCTATCTCTCTTCCCTATTTTCAACTTTTTTTTTTTTGAAAAAAGCAATTCGGAACCGTTACGTAACGATGCGTAACAGGCCGTTACGGCCATTACGGCACCGTTACGACCGCTATAGCAGCTGCTACAGCCAATACACCTGTGAATCTCAATCACACCGCAAAAGCGGTCGTAACGAGTGGCGGTAACGACCACAACCGTTACGTAACGGTGTTATGTAACGGTTGCAGCCACTTTTTAAAACCTTGAGCGTAATTATATTCAAATATAATATTAATATTAAATAAAATGAGCCAATGAAAATGTGTCATATGTACATTAAATTTTTTTTTTTTTTTTATCAAACAACTTAACAAAGATGAATGTATGGTTAATATTGATACGAAATAACAAAATCAGAATTTAAATTGATATAATTAAAATACTGGGATTTAATTTGAAAAACACACGAAATGCTGAGATTTTTTTTTATGTAATTTGCCCAAAAATCAAATATCATTTTCATAAATTTTTATTTTTTGAGAGGTCAAAAATTATTTTTAAAAATGTGAAAATATTTTTTTTATCAAATTAGTTTACATATTTTCAAAAAAAATTCTAAGGGTATGTTTGGTTTGCATTTGGGAGATGAGTTTTAGAAAAAAATTTCTAAAAAATTGTTTGGTTTGAGTTTTTCTCAAAAAATTTCCAAAATCACTTTCTCTCTCTTACACATCAATCAATCACTTTTTCTCTCTCCTCCCTCCTTCTCAATCACTTTTTCTCTCACACATCTACTCAAATTCTCCTAAGATATCAAATCATCCTAAACTCCTAAAAAAACAACTCTCCCAAAATATATAGCCAAACAAACCAAAAAAATTTCTAAACTCTCTCCCTAAATTTTTTTTCAAAAACAACTGTCCCAAAAACAAACCAAACAGGTCCTAAATTTTTTTTTTCTGAAAAACAAACCAAACATAACCATATTTGTAAAGAGAGCATGAACATTATTCTTCTCTACTAATTAAATTCAGCTATTTTCCCTTTAATTTGGCCAATTCCTTATCTCAAGTAGCTTTGTTGAAGATAATTTTATAGTATTAGTTTTTCATAAGTTACAATAAGTTTTGATTCTAGAAAATTTTAGGGGAAATATCCACAAAAAAAAAAAAATTTGAAAAGTAGAATATTATTTTCAAACTCGTGAAAGTATAAGTAATTTATGCAATAGATTTGTACAAATGAGTGTTATACTCTCAGAGCATCTCCAACGGTTACTCAAATTTTTCATCAAATTTGAGTAAAAAATGGCTCATTTTCCCAATTTGATATCAGCGGCTCCAATGGTGCATCAAAAGCCGTGGGTCAATCGGTTGGTCGACCGGTGAGGGGAATTTTTTTTTTTTTTTTTAACTTTTTGAACTGTTTGAACCCACCTATGTGAACTGGGTATGTGAACTGGGTGAGGGGCAACCGGTTGGTTCACCGGCCGGTCGACCGGTAAGCTAATTAAATTTTTTTTTCTTTCTTTTTGGGTTTCCCTCCATTTTTGTTCCCATTTGTTTTCCTATTTCTTTTTCCCTCCATTACATATATGTCATTTTGATTTACCTCAAACAATGATTTGCTTCTGAAAGGTCATATAAACACTATCCATATGCGAGACAACTCCACACAACCGATACGATCATTTTTAAACCAAATAGAGTATAATGAATACCTTCAAATCCATGATATTGACTTCATTTTCATCCTCTTCTTCTTCTTCCTCCTCTGATAATGAGTCTGATGATGAATATATGGTCACACTTTTAGGGGCTTATGAGCAGAATAATAGTAGTATGCTTCAGATTCTTAAGTCAAGTGATAGCTCAAAGAAAATAGGTGGTTCTGTTGTAGGCCATAGGTATATACGCAGAGATAGAAGGCAAGGTCATGACAGATTGTTTGTAGATTATTTTGGCGTAAATCCAGTGTATTCACCAACAATATTTCGGAGACGTTTTCGAATGCGTCGTCCTTTATATTTGCGAATTTTGAATGCAATCCAAGCACATAATTCATATTTTGTTCAAAAACAAGATGCGGCTCATGTACTTGGATTATCTCCCTACAAAAAATGACTTCAGCGATGAGAATATTGTCATATGGTGTCGCAGCAGATGCAGTTGATGATTACATATGTATCGGGGAAAGCATTGTAATTCAAAGTTTACAACAATTTTGTAATTCAGTGATTGAAATATTTGGAGTAGAATATCTGAGATCTCCGACACCAACTGACATTACTAGATTACTTGCTATTGGGGAGGTTCGGGGGTTTCCTGGTATGTTGGGAAGTTTAGATTGCATGCATTGGGAGTGGAAAAATTGTCCAAAGGCATGGCAAGGTCAATATGTACGCCATCAAAAAAAGCCAACCATTATTCTTGAAGCAGTAGCATCTTATGACTTATGGATTTGGCATGCATTTTTTAGAATGTCTGGCTCACACAATGACTTGAATGTGTTGGACCGATCGCCTTTGTTTTTTGATCTTGCGCAGGGTAAAGCTCCCCCTATCTATTACACTATTAATGGACATAGTTACGATATGGGTTATTACCTTGCTGATGGTATATACCCTCAATGGGCAACACTGGTTCAAATAATTTCGTCTCCCCAAGGAGCAAAGAGACAACATTTTGCAATGATGCAAGAGTCTGCCAGGAAAGATGCAAAGCAGGCATTTGGAGTCCTTCAATCTCGATTCGCAATTATAGGTGGTGCTATACGTTTTTGGGATCCGAAAATGCTTGCCAACATAATGAAGAGTTGCATTATATTACATAATATGATTGTCGAAGATGAGAGGGAGGAGCACCTTGATTTTGATTATGAAATTTCATCAACCAACACACCAGTGCAACTTTCCTCTACTCTTACCAATGACTTCCAATCATTTTTGTCTCGTCATTTAGATATTAGAGATAAGGATGCATATCATGCCCACCGTAATGATTTAGTAGAACATATGTGGCATCTTCGTGGTGAACACTAAATTCACCAAATCAATACATGTACTTTTGTGACTAGTTTTGGAATGGAAATTGAAATCTTATTTGTAATCTTCATTATGATGCTCTATATTAACCAAGTAATTCAGAAGTTATGTGATGATGTGCTGTTGTAATAATTCAATCTTTAATATTTAGAATTGTTCTGTGTTCAGTTTATGAGAATTACAAATGATATTAATAATGTCTGAACCATATAATTTTAATAATGTCTTAAATTCTGTGTTCAATTCAGTATTATTGGAACACAAATGATAAAATTGTCATCCATTTATGCACATTTAATAATCATGTCTTAAATGATAATGCTACTAATAATGTATTAAATTACTGATCTTCATGTACATAATTATAATGTCTTAAATTACTGATGTTCATGTGCATAATCATAATGAACAACAAATTACTGATGTTCATCTGCATAATCATAATTTAATAATAATGTCTTAAATTACTGATCTTAATTTAATAATTCAGCTTTAATTACAGCATAATCATTATTTGTACAAATTTATACAAATTAATTGATGTGTCATTCATTTACTGATGTTGATCTTGCCATTCATTTTTTTCCTCAGTTGAAATGCATTCAACATACAGAGTTATAAAATACTTAATAATGTTGCCATTCATTTACTCAGTGAATAAATGCATGCACTGCATAACATTCATGACATACTACAGACAATGCATACTTTGAACCACCTACCATTCATTGTGATATATCAATTCCTACCATTCATTAAATTCATTCCACATACCATGCCTCATTTTACACACCTACCATGCCTCATTTTACACACCACAGTTGTTGAGTCTTAATTTCCTCACCACCTACCTGAATAATTCAGCCTCTATATGAGCTGAAGATTGTATACAAAATCAGTATCAACAAATTCACTCTATTCACTCTACAAAATCCATCCACCACCATCTTCAAATTACCACCTACCAAATTGTAATCCCAAACTCTGCAGAACAAGAAGGCAATAAGGCAGCATCCCAACACATCAGCAGAACAAGAAAGCAGCAGCAGAACAATAAGGTAGCATCCAAAACATGGTATGGCACGGGTCAACCGGTTGGTCAACCAGCCCTTTGTTATTATTATTTTTTTTTTCCTTTCAGTGTACACGCTGTATTTGTTCAATTTTATGCTTAATTTGATAAATTTTAACCTTCTCAATAGCATAAAATTCATATTTTAATCAAACTACATTCATGTTCAATATTTTAATTTCAGTATGCACTTCTGAACTTCTTTGATTTTTACATTCATAACTTCAATGTTCAATATTTTACATTAATAACTTCTCTGATTTTTAGTTTCAGTATTTTACATCCATGTTTTATATTTTTACATTGGTAAAGGTTCAATATTTTTACATTGTTCAATATTCATGTTTAGTATTTTACATTCATGTTCAATATTCATAACTCGTCTGATATTTTACATTCATGTTCAATATTTTTACATTGCTAACTTCTCTGATTTTTACATTTATAACATTCATATCTTCAATATTTTACATTCAGAACTTCTTTGATTTTTAGTTTCAGTATGCATTCATGAACAACAAACACTGCATAACATGAAGTACAAATTAATGTGCCATGAAGCATACACCAATTAGTATGCAATTCATTATAAAAATGAATGAAGTAAAAACACTGTAATATAAAAATTACTGTACCATTCTAAGTATACACCAATTAGTGCATAACATGAAGTAAAAACACTGCATAAAAATGCTTTCCATTTCAGTATGCATTTTCCATTACCATGCAAAACCAATTAGTATGCATATTGAATGCTTTCATGTTTTTCCATTATAATATGCATTGTACTATTAGAACTACAGAATATCTGAGTTCTAAGTTCATGTTTTCATTAAGAAACACTACATATTTTGCATTGTTCACCACAACACTAGAACAACACTAAGCCAACTGTAATTTAGCTTTCATATGTAACACATATTCATTAAAATTCAACAGATGTTGACATCATGCCTAGAACTAAAAGACCGAGACCACAAGTTGGTGAAAGTTCCAACCCTCCACAACGCCAAGAACAGCAGCCTCAAAATCAGTCATATCCTACTGATGATTTTCTCAGTGCAAGTCACGAACTAGCCTTTCCAAACTTCTACAGCCGACCTATTGTAACAGGGAGGAGGGTAAATCTACCACTTCAATATGATGCACTATTAGTTAGTAAACTTGAAGCAATGGGATGGCTAAATTTAATTAATTTACCCCAAAAGGTATATCCACGACTCGTATCTCTATTTTATGTTCACTTAAGAGTTACTCAGGAAGACGATGGAAATTTTACTCTTTTATCATATGTGAAAGGAAAGGGTATGCAGTTTGATATTCCTACTTTGGCAAGCATTATTGGAGTTGATGTAGGTGATGAAAATATCCATTTTCAGACTGAGGCTGAGTTAGCTAATATTGTTGGTAATGCTACTGATGTATATACTACTATTTGTCAGAACAGATTTATTGGGACTAGTTTACAAGCAAGACATTTAAAACCTTATCTTCGGATTCTCCACCGGTGGATTGTGGAAAATGTCACTCCAAAAAAAGGACATCATGATGCGGTCCCATATTTTAATGCCTATTTGTTATACTGTTTTGAAGTTGGCCATAAGTTAGATTTGTGTTACATAATTATGAAAGAAATGATTCTCGCAAATCAAGGTCAATTCACAGGCCGGTCATTACTGCTTGGGGCACTCTTGACAAAAATTTTCAAACATTTTAGAGTTCGCCTGGTAGATAAAATGGAGATCAAAATCCATTCACCCATTACTCAGTATACAGTGACCCGTGCTGGTGTAGCCTCCAATTTAATGGGAAGTGTTAATGTTTCAGAAGATTCAGAAGATGAAGTCCCACCGGATGATGCTCCAGAACATCCTCCTGCCAATGTGATGCCATCAACTGAACAACCTCCATATTGGACTGAGTTTATGGCCATGGAAGAACAACGTTATAATCAATGCGTTCAATGGGAACAACAAATGGCTAATCAAGTTAATTCGTTGGGTACTCAGTTTGATACATTTGCCACTGCGCAGAACTCATTAATTCAACAATTTGGTGAGTTCCATGTGGATATTGAAAGACGTCATGAAGTGGCAAACAATCGTATAGATAGGATTGAGCATCGCGTAAATGACATATACCATCATTACTTCCCTCCTCCACCACCACCACCAGATAATGACTGTTGATGTGTTTGACATTATGTATTTTAACAACCTTTTGTTAGGTCATTAAAGTGTTATGATTTTTTGGTATAAATCATGTTATAGTAGTCACGTTATAAATCATCTGATCTACTACATTCAATAAAGGTTCTCTTACTAGTTCCTTATTTGCAAGTAAGAAATTAATTTTGCTACTCGTAATGCTCTTTGGTTTTTGATATTTCATTTCTGCACTTTGTATTTCTCAATACTTTTCTCTTCATATTATTCTCTTCAACTTGATGATCCATGAGAGAGAATGCATACCTTTTACATTATTAGGTTGAAGTGGACTCTTTTTATTCATTCAGACAAGATAAAAATGTTGTAGTAGTTGTGCTTTCCTGAACATGGCTTAAATTTATTCTTTATGCATTTGCATTTCATAATGCAGTGAAAACATGTGTATTGTAATTTTGTGATTAGCGGCTGAAATCAACATGTAAGTATTGCCTCTTTGGGGTAAAAAGGCCATACCTTCGCCTGTTGACATGTTCTGCATTTGCAAAAATTTATTCCACAGGTAAATTAGATTCATTCAGAAGAACACAATGCAAACCAAAACACACCAAGATTGACATTCTTGATATTTATTGAATGTTCACAAATTTCATCCATAGTACATCAGGAAGTCAAAACATAATAAAAAAGAACTCCAAAAATTACTATAAATTATTATATTATTAGTACTAGCAGTTGTAGCAGCCACAGAGTAGGCAAAAAAATCATGCTAATAAATCATGTTATAAATCATTATTCATAAAATCTGATGTTCAATAAAATCTGATGTTTAATAAAAATCCATAAAATCCATAAAATTTGAACTTTAAAAATGGCAAAAACTATGGCAAAAATCCATAAATCCACATTGAACTTGAAATATGATGTTCCATAAATCATTATGTTCCATTTAATAAAATTGTGAATACATGATTACTTATGCTTTATGAATAATTGCAATATAACTAACTAATACCACAAGTTAGATATAATATTTTTAGATAATCAAACCAATAGATGAAACCCACTAATACAGAACCTTTCAAGGCAATCTATTAGTTGTTCGAAATAAAATCTGTCGTTGAAGATCTTCGTAGTACGCCCTTTGCATAGGATTTAAAATTGTCATGTCCATTGACATTATTTTATGATTTTCATTTCGTTGTTCTCTTTCATTCATCATAGATAGGAGTTTTAGTTGTTTCTCCCTATCTTCAGCCCTTCTTCGACGCTCTGCAGCTTTCTGCTCACAGTCGATCGCCTTTTGTTCATCTCGCTCAATAGTTCTAGCAGAAATAGTTGATAACACTTCAACAATTTTGGATTGGTTGGCAGTCATTTCAACAAATCTACTATTGTGCGTTGTTTGATTCTTCAACTTCTCTTTCACTGCCTTAGTACCAATTGGTCATGTTGATGTATTAGATGGTTGTTCGTGCACCGCAGTATTCTGATTGGATTGAAATTCATCAGATTCTCCAGTTGGTGGATTCGAACATGGATAAGCATGTTGCGTGCTTCTTTGGGATTGTGTTTGAAATTCATCCCACTTACAACTTCGGCGCAAAATATCCCAACATGTATCAAATGTAAAGTGTTTTTTCTGTATTGCATGATACATCCGCTTCGCTTCAGCGACCTACAAAAAAAATTACAAAAATTGTAATAACAAGTATACATTTACAAAACAAATTTGATATTTAGAAAGACAAATAAATTTTACTATGTCTGCCTCAGTTGCTCCACTTTGTTGCCTCAGTTGAATTTGTTCAAGAAAATCACAGAATTTATTAATTGCCTTTTGCATGCTAGACCAACGGTGGGACAAAGAAATACGGTTTCGATTTGATTCACCGCTCAATTGTGAATTACAATAAACAAGTTCTCGTTCCCAAAATATAGCCATAGTTTGACTATTACCAATAATGGGATCTTGAGAGACTACTAACCAAGATCTACACAAAGTTTCATCTTCTATAATTATAAACGATTTACCACGAGAAACACGAGAAGTTTCTAAAATAAAATGATTATCGCTATTCTGCGTGTTCTGCTCTCGTGAAGTTTCTGACATAAAATTAATATCACTGTTGTGCTCCAACATTTGTGATTCCTCAAACATTTCAAAATCTTCCATAGTTTGGAAAAAAATACAGTATATCTAAGTTACTGAAAAATATTAAAATGATATACACTGAACCTCAGAATCAGATAATTTAATCAGATAATATAAATTAAATTTTCAAGGGAAACAAATTTCTAAATGACACAGAAAAAACAAAGAAACAAAATTCACAACATACAATGTAATACTATTCTGAAAATAAAATACTCTATCAACTTGATATATGAAACATATATATTTTATAGAACACATCATCAACGGTAAATTTTCAAAATACTCTGTCTATTCAACGGTAAATTATTGGAATGGCTAATTATTGGAACGGCTAGTTCTTCAAAATACTCTGTCTATCCAACGAACGGCTAGTTCTAAAATATGTATATGAGATAACAATTTCAATTATTTTTTGAAGAGAATTTAAATTTATATCACCCTTCAAATTATTTTAAGTCCACAAAATAACCATTCTCAAAATAAACATGTTCAAACCAAACCAAACCTGTTCAAACCAAACCTGTTCAAACCAAGATCAGACCGGTCGACCGGTTGGTCAACTGGCCGAGCAACCGGCTGGTTGACCGGTTCAACTCCAACGGTCACGCGCACAGCCCAATTCACACCAACCAGTTCAAACAGTTCAAACTCATCGCAGTTCAAACCCGTCGCATAATTGATGGTCAACCGGCCAAGCAACCGGCTGGTTGATCAGTTCAGCTTTGCAACGATCAAGAACAGTAATTTGGTAAAATCTGGAGCAGCTTCTCAGTTTGATGATTTTTTTGTTGAATTCTCAGTTTGATGTTGATTTGGTGAAACGGTTGGAGCACTAAAAAGTATTTTTTTCACCAAAATTTAAATTTGATGCCAAGTTTGGTTCACCGTTGGAGATGGTTTAATTAATTAAGTTTGGTGTTTTTGGCAAAGGCTATTTCTTGACTTTTTAGGTTAAAATTCACAAAATAATAAAATATGTTAAAATAGTTAATAAGACAAAATGTCACATCAAACTCATAATCATTTTACTTTTTCTCTCACAAATATCACATCTAATTACAAAAAAAATCTAACTATATTCCCAAACATAAAAACTTTAACCTATTAAAATAGCCTAAAATAAAAACAGCCTACTAAAATAATAACTTCCCAAACAACCACTTTGTTACGTGAAAATGAGCTCATGTGCTAAGTGTGGTTCCAATCCATGTATACTACAAACTTTTTAAATACACTTTAATTTGGAATTGAACTATAACCATTTCTTCTCTCTCTCAACAAAAATGGTGGTGAGCTTGAGAGGTTCTTGCTTGGTTAAACCAGCAAAGCCAACACAAAATGGTTGTCTTCCCTTGTCAGAATGGGATCAAATAGGTATCATAACTCATGTACCCAATATCTACTTCTACAAACCTCCAAAAGAGTGGCTCACTCCAACTTACAAGATCATAAAAACACTAAGAGATTCATTGAGCTTGGCATTGGTGCATTTTTATCCATTAGCCGGTCGTTTGAGTTCCATAGGTGGAGGTCGTCTAGTGCTCGATTGCAATGCCATGGGTGTTCAGCTCATTGAAGCTGACTCCGAGTCCAAGCTAGATGATTTTGGCGACTTTTCTCCGTCCCCCGAGTTGGACTGTCTTATCCCTTGTGTTAACTTCAAGAGCACCCCTATCCATGAATTGCCATTACTAATTGTGCAACTAACAAAGTTTAGTTGTGGTGGCATTAGCCTCGGCATGACAATATCACATGCAGTTGTTGATGGGCAAAGTGCTATTCATTTCATGTCCGAGTGGGCTAGGCTTGCTCGACGTGAGCCTATATCTGCATCCCCATTCCTTGATCGAAAAGTGGTGGAGGATCTGCGAGCTGTTGATCCAACACCAAAATCACATTTTGATCATGCCCAGTTCAATCAACCACCACTTTTGATTGGGAAAACAAGCAGCGAAGAAGAGAGAAAGAAGAAAACCACGACAGTGATGTTGAAACTGACAAAAACCCAAGTTGAGAAAATCAAGGACAAGGCTAATGAAGGGTGGAACTGGACTAGTAGTGGTACTATACTAGTACTATTTGTCATGCTTACACTCATTATGAGTCGATCACTGGACACATATGGAGATGCGCATGCAAGGCACGCGGGCACAAATGTGAGCAACCGACATCATTAGGTGTGTGTGTTGATTCGCGTAGTCGTTGCAAGAAACCACCATTGCCACAAAATTACTTTGGCAATGCAACTCTAGATGTGGTCGCGACTGGCTACCCGGGTGAGCTACTGTCAAGACCATTAGGTTATGCTTCAGGTAGAATAAGAGAAGCAATTGAGAAAGTGACTGATGAGTACCTCAACTCAGCCATTAATTTTCTCAAGAACCAAACAGACTTGTCTAAGTTTCAATATCTACATGCAGTAGACCAAGAGAGTAAGCCTTTCTTCTATGGAAACCTAAATCTTGGAGTGACAAGTTGGATGAGCTTGCCAATGTATGGGGTAGATTTTGGTTGGGGAAAGGAAATCTACATGGGTCCAGGAAATCAGGATTTTGATGGTGACACTTTGTTACTACCAAATCACAATGAGGATGGATCGTTGGTTGTTGCATTGTGTCTTCAAGTGGATCGCATGGATGCTTTTAAGAAGTTCTTTTATGAAGACATTGTCTAGAAATTGATCAGCAGCAAAGAATAAGGGTTTAGAGATTACAAGAAAAAGTACTATTAATGTAATGTTGAGTTTGCCAAAATGAAAAAATAAAGATGCATATATCTAGTAAACAACCAATGCTTAATAACAAAAAAAAATTCCAAAATCCAAAACAGGGTAAAAAACAATCCCAGTTAAATTGAGTAATAGGTTGTTCAAGTATAATTTGATAACTAAATGAGTTTAAAATTATGTTTAAATTTACTTGTTTTGCATAACGAGTCAATCTCGAACGAATTTTTAACGAACTGAACATAAGTCGACCTTGAGTAACTTACTTTTTTATAATGCATATAAA